AGCGAGCCGAACACCAATGCCTGAAATGTCTGGATTTGCAGCTAGACAGTTCGCTACTGCCGACATTGTGGTTAAGAGGTGGACAGAAGCAAAGAAACGAAGCCAATTTGGTGTACTTTTTATGTAGACTTTTTTTTTCGATTTCAACGGGTCAAGAACAAGTCGAAACCGACGAAAATCTCGCACAGTATGTGCGACGAGACAACGTAATAGTACATGCCTGTGTCCCCAGCGATCGTAAGAGACGATCGTCTCGCAGCAAGTTCCTTCGGGTTTATCTGGTCACGACCGCTGGATCTGTGAACGTCGGTCCTTGACAGGATTTCTTCGTTACATTGCGAGCTCGATGTGAAACGCCGTTAGGAAACGCGAAACCCGAGATGTCCTCTGGTGCCGCGCTCTGGCCGCGCTGGCGAGAATGGAAATAGGGTCCGAGAGATCATCGCGGCATTCAAACCAGCGGCCGTGAAATGATACGGAGAAGGTGGCATGATTGCCGTCCATAAGACTCCTGTGTGGGGTGTTAAGCTCGACTCCACGACGCGGGCGAGGTTTTTGACACGTCAGCACCCTCCGGCCATGAACGGTGAAAGTACTAGGGCACTGAATCTGCCTAGTAAGGATATTACAGCTTCACGCTGTGAACACCTGGCAGCTTTATAGTCTCCATGACAGGCCATTTGTTACAACCGACGGATACGAGGTGTCTTTGCAAATCATAGGCCATAGAGGGGAGATCCTGGGAGATCTTGAAGCGAAGACTATTGAGTAGCGACGCTATAAGCATGCAGGTACAGTACCTACAGTCACCTGGGAGACGACCAATTTCAATTTGAGCGAACATTAGTCAAGCGAATCCCGTACCTTTCGGTCTCCTCGAAACACGGCGAAGTGAAAGGGGCGTGCGGAGCACCTTTACTTTCCCAGCAGGAGGCATGATCATAACGCAGCTATGCCACTGAGTCTCAATGCATGCCAATGTAGCGCGCAACGACGGAAGACTTTAAAAGTGTATCGCGGGGAAGGCAGCATTTCCAACTCTCAGCGCCCATAAGACATGGTTTCCCTTCGTGGACAGAGGGCGCACAGTGTCGGAGGATGGGGAATCGCGACTGTGTGTGACGAGCAAGCGTAGAACGGCAAAAAGGAAACAAAGAATGGACATTCCTTCCTATGGTAATGTACAAGATTGACTGTAGATCGATGCATCCAGATATTAATGCAGTGTTATCAGCTTGATGTTGCGGGAATCTGGATATGAACATGAGCATTAGGCTCGACCAAGGCCAGGAAGGATGGCTCGTACCTTATTGGGGAGGTTTGAATGATCTGCTCACAATTCAACTGTGAAACTATCGAACGATCCAGCGGCCAGAGCATCTCCGCCCTCTTTCCTTGAAGCAGAGCCCATAGGAGTATCCCCATAAATAGGGTACTGCTCCTGAGATACCAAGAGTTGGGTTTCATGGCCTGTTGAAGCACTAGAGACTGGGGGTGTAACACCCCTGAACGCTGCTAAACTAGTGTTCGCAATAGTGATGGGCCTTGTCGGACTACACGTTTCTGTCCACAAAGCTGAGCGTGAGAGACACTATGAAGGGCTGACAACTTACAGTCACCTTCGGGTGGGTAGCCTTTTGTTTCCTGGAAGGTTGCTATGCTAGCCGGTATTTCCTTAGCGAGCAGGATAGGGAGTGCCGCTGTACATGATAAGGCTCAAGGGTCCACCAAGAACACTATCGCACTGGTGTGCCGTATGTCTCGAGGAGATTTGAGTGGTGTATGGTGAGCTGAGCGAGTGTGCAGATCATAATTTCGTTGTGAACCCTGGGCTTTGGTACATGTTCACCGAGGAGGAATCCATCGGGTTGCACAGCGAGAGACAGTGAATCCTTGATATCGTCGAGCCATGTTGTGGCGATACGTCTCGTGAAAGAGGTAACCACAAGGCCGGCTATGGCGACAATTCGTAGTGCAGTCTCGCCCTAGAGACCTGAAGGTGACCTATTTCAGCTATCGAAGAAGCGAGGCAAAGATCCAGACTCACGTACGATGTATTCAATGCTCTTGTCTATACGAGACTCAAGACATTCTACTCGCTGGTCTTCATTAACGCCAACTGTCCGTGTTCTAAATCGCGAAAGTTAGCAAAAAGGAACAGAGGATGGGTCCGATAGCTCACCCTGTGTCGGTTGTCCTGATCTATGGCTTCACCTCTATAATCCCCAACAATACGAGGTTGGGCCAATATAGATTCTTCTCGTGTTCGTAGGATGTCTGCGGAGCGATTCGGAAGCGGAAGATGTGAAAAAGACTGCACTTGAGGAATCAGTTTACTGATGGGAAAATGAAAAAGGCACATCTCACAGCATGTTGAGATCTCTGAAGACACTCTGACCCAGCCCGTAGGAGCTTCTGGAGTAGCGGTAATCGTCCTTTTCGTGTCTGTTCGAAAATATGAACTAGAAGAAGACAAGAGACAAGATCATTGAGCTTACCTAGCCCTATCAAGTGACTCATGATGCATGATCCTTCAGCTTCATTTCGAGTTTCCCATCTGATCCTGGCGGTGTTTTCTTAGTTCTGAATGAGAACCAACGACGTCCAGTGATGGCAGTAAAGGAAAGGGTCGCTTTCCATAGACTCCGATAGGCCGAAACAACCACGTGCCTGACCTTGGGCCGAGTTAATGCCGAAAGCGGTGCCTGACGCCTTCATAGCTTTCTCGTGAAAACGTTCAATAATTTTCTCCTAAGTGCCGTATTTTCTTCAACTCTGCACCCTTCTGATCCACCTACCTCTAGGGCTTACCTATCCACGGACTACCTCCCCAACGGTACGAGGAAGCAGTGTATACAGCTCTTGTCATATAAGCGCTAATTAGCCGCCCATTCGTGAACGCCGAATTGCCGAATTCGGATCTTTGTCACGACCACCATGACCGCGACATGCAGCGTTCACTAGCACTTGCGATCCTTTCTTTGTGACACTTTCTTTTTTGACTTTCAAAGAATTCCCGATGACATCGTATCAATGATACATTGACTTGTACATCCCCCGCGGGTCACGTTCCCCTTTACCTTTCTCTTTCTTTGACTCTCAGCCTTTGTCCTCACTTCAGCGTCACGACAAAGGTATTCCATTTTCAAACCTCTGGGCTAGCACCTCCTATAAATAAACCACTTCCTGCAGATACAGTACGAATCATCACCCCTACTCACCCTCAGCTTGTAGTACGACAGCCAAGAGCTTCCTCGATGACTAGACAAAGTGAGTTGTCCAACTGATTCTGACTATGGCTCTGATCTGTACCCTAGGAACACCTCTGGCCTCTCCCAAGCCCATAGGACGGACAAGATCAGTTTCGCTGGATCCTACCCCATCGACAGAACCCCAACCCGAGTCCACGTCAGCTTCGGCTTCAGTAACAGACGTCGGAGAACTATGGATGGCCTATCGACGATCCCTGAGGAAGAATGACGCTGTCAAGGAACAACGAGCAAAAGAGTATGTAACTCAATGCAATCTCTCAAAAGAATCTTATCATAAGCCCGCACGATATAGCATCCAGAAACGACTTCTCAAGATGGGTTTCAAACGACGGGATTGGTACATAGTGAAGGATATGGCTTGTGTGAAGAGGAGCAATCCACTCACAGATAGAGGTGCGCGATCTTTGTTTCGGATACGTTCGGTAACTGATTGGTTTTCTTTCAGGCTGGGCTACGATTCAAAATCAGCTCGTCGATGCTATAAACCAGGCCAATATGTACAACAAAGAACCTTTACTGGAGTCTCGCGTTGCCATGATTAGGACCGCATACAGCAAATACAAAGAGCGCCTCCCCGGTATGACGTGGAGAACTCTTCCTAGCCATCACGTCGTTCAGACACTCCCTTCGATCCTTCACCTCAAAGTATCCCCGGACATGCCAGAGTACAAAGTTACCCAAGCTGATTTCGACACGCTCTTTCGTGATATCACCAAGTTTCAGCGAGAGGTTCAGGCTTGGTTGCACAACCAGAAGAAAGGGCTGCTCGATGATCCCTCGTGGTCCAGGGATCCGAACGGCTGGCGCTATCTGTTTCGGAGACTCGCGCTTGTCATGGAGAATAGACTATTACCCGACTTCACGCCTGGCGATCCCACTTTCAACATGGATCTGGCTGTGATCGAAATCAAGTGCTACGATTGCAGGACAGAATTTTGCGGGTTTTCGGCATGGGTTCGCCATTTTGGTCCGAACTATTGCAAACCTAAATCGAAGGGTGGCGGGAAGTTTCGGTCTGAGATTCGGTTTTCGGACATGGCAGCATTATGTGTCTCTCGTGATGGATTAGATGTCATTTCCGCGACGGTCGATGATATGGATCAGAAAGGATCAACGTTTGAGTGCGGAAAGTGCCCCTTTCGAGGTTCCTGGAGAGACCTGGTAAGTTCATCAGCTGCTTTCAAGTTGGTGTATTCGTCTGACAACCTTTAACAGATCAAGCATACCCATTCCGTGGCTTGCCCTTATTCCAAATACTATATAGATCGCATATTCGACGTTCGTGATACACGCGCTATGGTGCTCAGCGTGAAGGAGAGGTATGATGGAAAACTCGAGGTGATTAAGATTCCTGGGAATTGCGTCACATTATCCAGTGATAGGAAAGAATGGGCTTGTAATCGGTGTTACGAGCACGTTGAAGAACGCGTCTCGCGACAAGTTGTACTGGATCATCTTTTGGTCAAGTGTGTATCTCGTTCTCATTCACTAGTATCTTTCCTGATTCCAAGTTTTTAGGCATGGAGTATCCGGCGATGCGAATGTGCCAACTGATTACTTTTACGCCAACACCTAATAAGCCATTCCCTGCATCATATATAGGATAGAGTTATCTACAAGGTCTCCATGAAGTAATATCAAGTTGTCAATGGGGTCATGCTGGAGTGGTCCACGAGTTGGTGCGCACGCCGTGGAGGAACAAAACAACGGGGGCGCTTGCCATCCAGAAGCCCACCGCGAGGGTCGAACTCGCAGCCTTCAGATCACCTCGCTCGCCACTTGCATTACGATTGTAAGAGTCTGACGCTCTATCCGATTGAGCTAGGCGGGCGATGCCATGTTTCGGCGTGTCACAATGTTACTACGCGTCGGGCAAGATCCCTGTCACACCGTGTGACGCGTCTGCAACTGTACCACCATGAACCCTTCCCTTTCCTCCTCAGAGTCTCTATTTGTCAACCTCACCTGTTTTTGCGAGATTAAAGGTCATAATATTCCGCAAAAAATCTTGTGCAGGTCCAGCTTGAAAGTGGACTGGAGCCACTGGTGCGTTTCCGTCTGATATTAAGTTGCTTTGAACCTTCGCTTACCTTTTTTTAAGTGTTCTACACCTCCCAGACGATAGCGAAGACTCTAGGGCTAGCCTGATATTAATTGATCGGTACAAACCGACTGGGCCTGAGTACGAGGTGGTAGAGTGAAGCATGGTTTCGACGGATAGGCAATCGAGAATCAATGGGGTATCTTCCTTTCCAACCAGCTATAGATATCGAGGTGCGTGAACTGTTTTTCTTTTCCTTTATCTTTAGCTAACACTATCATCAACATGACTTGGCATTGGAACGCGAACCAAACGGAACCTATCGCCTTGCCCTGGATAGAAGACACAAACGACACTCTGATCTTCTTGTCGATCTCTTACCCCGCATATGTCATTCTCTCTACCGGAAGGAAAAGTGTTCGTGGTCGAAGCATATTTTCCGTCATGGGTATCACCACATTTCGGAGATCCGCCCATGCAAAAAGCACTTGATTTTTACATGTCAAGTTGATAGACGACGCTCAGGCCATAATCATAATACCGTCGAGGCGATAACACGGAAATAATGCATTGAAGGATTGCTTGGACCCTACCGGAGGTCATATCATGGGTGGAACTTGACAAGGACCACTGGTCAGATCCTTTTTGTCTTTCGCTGGTCTTTGTAGTGACAGCGCTCCCATTCAGTTTCTGCCACGTACTCTTTCCTTTGTTGTTCCCTTGGTTCTCCTTTACTAATAGATTTCGGTGGTCACTCTACACACGTATCACATATCTACGCCTTTTCAATATTTCAATGCCCGAACCGCTTTGTCGCACCTATTTCTTTGTTGTAATTCGATATCTTAGTCCGTTATATGGTCGTTGCATGGGACGATCTTCGGAAACTCGAGATCTATCCATGCGAGACAACAGCCCTGGCCAATGGATCGTCTCGTTGGATATAAAGTCCTCAACATTACTTCTGGCATTCTCACATTCACCCTTCTCGGCGTCGTGTCTTCTTCAACTGATGGCGAAACAAAGTAAGTCTGTATTGTTTGAGGAAGAGGTTTAACTAACCATCATCCCAGAAACGCGCATTACCTCGCCTACAAATCGGCGTCCTCGATCCAAGTCCAAGCCACTCAATCCGGCGAAAGCGCCACGCATGCAGGGGTTCCCACTTCGGCAGCTTCCGGTGGATGTTGGTTTCGAAGTGAGTGACTGACACTTTGTCTAATAAATTCAAGAGTAGTAACACCTCACTATAATCAATAGATCTTCAGTCATCTCTCACCGAGAGATTTATTATCGCTTACCGAGGTAAACACCGAGATTCGCTCGATCCTTCTGGCTCCAAACACAGCTGGTGTATGGCGAAGTGCTCGGCAAAGATGCTATGAAGATGCTCCTGCTCCGATCGAAGAAATATCTGAGCAACGGTGGGCGCGACTCCTGTTTGATGAAGAGAAAAAATGCGAGGTGAGCAATATTTCCTCGTGACCAAGCTGTATTCACACCTTTCCTCTATCTAGGTCTGCGGCATACTTGGCTGTGGAAAGCGAGAACTCGCAATCCAGAAGCGTATTTGTTTTCACTGTGTCGCAGAAACGTAAGTCTACCAAGGATGAAATTCAAACATATCGCTAACTTTTTGAACTAGTGGTATCAAGTGCGAGGATATTACAGCATGGTATCCGGGCGTGGAAACCTCCGTGTTGGAGGTCGTTCCTCGATTGTCAGGTACATTTCTTGAGCTACCGATGAGACCGCAGTTGACTCTATTGGGCAGGTGCCACAGCTGAATACGAATTTTGTGATTTCTATCCTAAGCAGGAACTCGACACGATAATAGCCACCTTTCGAGCATTGAATCATGTAGATGCAAAAAGGGACTTCCTTGCGACCAGGAGGCAGTTTCTTCTGCGGGTAAAAGAGGTAAGGGTCTATGATCGTCTTGTCACCGGTGATTTCAGCTCACACTACAAAGGTTTCAAAAGAAATCAGGAATTGGTGGCTAAGGGAAGAAGCGAGACGTTCGGATGCCAATAAGGCACTAAGGGACGAACGACTGTCGAGGTAGGCCAGCCTTCTCAGAGATGCTTTCAGGATCTCACCCTGTTATCCTGCAGCGTCAAACACCGACTTGTTGATGCGGGATACACGCAAGCTGACGTCGATTGTTGGGAGATTTCTCAGCTGCCTTGCGTAAATCGTCCAGCATCACTAACCGATCGCTGTGAGTAATCAGAGTTCCATATTCTTCTAATATCTAACTTTACCTCCTCTCAACTTAGCATGGGACCTGATCAAGAATCAAGTGATAGACACTGTCAATCGTCGAAAACTCCGAGGACAGAAAGACCTGTTAAATGCTCGAAATGAGATGATCACCCGGGCGTTTCATAACTTCAAGCGTTCCGTACCAGGCTCGACATGGCGCACGTTCCCCAGTATCCATGTCATTGGTTTTCTGGACCCTGTGCATCACCTCAAAGTGTCTCAGGATACCAGCATAACCGAAGAGGACTTCAGGACTACCATGGAAACCGACCTTCGCCTCTCAATGGAACGATGGACGAAAAAGCAGACTAGATCCATTCTTCTTCGTTCTGGGCATTATCGCCATAACCCTGGTTACTGGCGCCAGATTGGTTCTAAATTGTATCCCCAAGCTCAGCGTTATCTCAACAAAGCAGAAGTTCCCGATTTCGTTCTCGACAGTTTATTCGACACCGATCTTGCAGTGGTAGAAATCCGCTGCAGCTGGTGTAAGAAGATCTGTTACGGGATCAATGCTGCTATACGACATCTTCACAGTGATTCGTGTAGCCGCTGGAAACCGGACAAGTTGGAGGCTCCAAGGAAGAATTTCGAGCCCGTCTATGTATCGTGGGTAGCGGCAGCATGTGTTGTTTGCGATGGGTTGGATCCGTGGTCCGCGACGGCAGATGACATGGACGAAAGGAATTCTGTGTATGAATGCCGGCAGTGCACGTTCCGTGGAACGTGGCGAGCATTGGTAAGTATGTACACTCATATCCTGAGATTTTATCGACTAACATAATCGACAGGCGGCACATGCAAGTGCGGCGGACCATGACCGATTCGCGCTCAGGGTTTCGAGAGCTGTTTCATGTGATCAAAGTATCCTGAATGAACGCGTGTGGAGCTGCAATCATTGTCACGAGCACCTCAACGGGCTAGTCTCAAGGAACGAGGCCGTGACTCATCTTAAGCTATGGTGTGTCACTTCGATCTTTGAGAGACTGGCTTTATCGCTAATTTGACTCTAGGCACGATGTATGGCTCCCAAAAGTACCCAGGGATTTCTTTTACGGAGCGAACTAAGTAGATAGAGTAGGTACTTTACAGTTGAATCCAGCCTGAATGAAACGAATTTGCAGTAACCGAAAGCTAAACGAGATGCTTCAAATAAAATCTTCCCAGACTGGTAGACCTTCAATGATATTCCTCAATGCTTCGTAACAATCCCCGTAGAACCATTCGAACGTATTCTCTTGCAACCCAAGAGCCTCTTCCGCTACCCGACTCGCATTTGTGATCGATTCCATAGATGGAGCTTCCTCGTCGACAACTTGAGCAACGAAGATATCGCCCAACACATTTGCAGGATAACATCTTTGGCCTGATTGTTTCTTCAATCTGCATATTGTACTGTGTTATACGACCGCATCGATTCGTGCCAGTGTTCGCGGTAGAGCGTCTAAGAATGCTTGGTTTAGTGAGGTGAATCAAGACTTCGACATGGGATAACTGACATATGTTCCATACGCTTCAGAGTAACTTTTGCTAAGGCGGAACACGTCGGATAAGGGAATTTCCATCGTACGGCGAGCTAGTGTATCTATCGACTTATAGTCGCCATGCGATGCCCTGTAGAGCATGACGCGAGCAGCGTTCTCAGGTGAGGTTTTGGCGAGCTCACTATACAAGAAATGAGGCGTCACTGGAGGACATTGAACACTGTGACATACCCCATAGCAGCCTCGCATGCCTCTAGTACTGCGAAGTTATTTCCATACTGGGGTATTTCGATTGATTCGGACGGCCTGTGACCTGTGACCTCACCATCCGGATTTCGAGGTTCGGATGGGGCGCTGGCGGTCTGTGACCGCCGAAATTTTTCGGATTTGGCGCCCAGAACCTGCCAAATTTGGACGAAAATTGGGCGCTTTTCGGAGGTCACATTCCGAGGCAATTCGGACAGACCCTCCGCGGCCTGTGACCGTCCGAAAAATTTCGGAAATTTTGACCCTTGTGACCTGTGACCATCCGAATCAATCGAAATACCCCAGTACTTCTCGGCAGCTCCCACAAGCTCGAAGATAGTGTCGGGTGATCTAGTAGATAGGTTGGTGTGTGGGCGGTTATGGGATAACTTCATGAGAAGACCAAGAATATGGCTTCTTTCTGGAAGTTTAGCAACAGCGAGTTGACGACGGTCTTCAGGTTTGATAACTGTGAGCTCGGGATCGAAAGTCCGAAGGAGCGTGAGGTGTGCGCCTCTGCGAACGCCTTCGGCAGAAACGAGAATGGCGTCTACGGGAATCTTACAGCCATTTACTATTGTAGAGTTATTAGTACTGAGAAGTATCGCGTTTTGGGTTCGATATACGCACCAGGGCAAGTCAAGGATGGAGTCGCGTGTTTTGCCATCGAAATAAAGATAAGCTTTTCGTGGGGGTTTCGTTTCCTCCAAGATAGAGACGAGTTCTGTTTGTAGCAGGGCTCAAGAGCTGAGATGGTTTGGTGGAGAGCGAAATGGGTGTCGCGATGGGGGTTTA